TTCAGAACGTTTAAAATATCATACTGTGGGTCAATCCCGTTGAAACTATCAGTCGATTCGCACAGTTAGTCTTTTCTTTCTTGTATTGGCAGATAATTTGTTTAATTAAAGTTATAGTTCTCACTGCAATAAATCGTGTACACTCACTTAAATAATCCTGACCTCAACACAATCTAAATGTTCTTTAAAATTATTTACACTAATTGTATCGATTATATCAGTTTTTTATTTTTTTTATTCTTCCAATTAAAATTATATGTAAATATGTTAAAAGTCGTAATTATATGTATTAAAATAAAGTATACAGGATGTCCCAAAATTGACGCATTCGGAGTACAGGACGTGATATTTTGTGCTAAAAGGAACAACTTTTTTCTTTAACAAATTTTGATCTGACAAGAAATTTTGGCAGTAGAGCTGGTTAAAGTTAACAAATAAAAAATTGTGTATTTAAATCTTGGCTGAGATAATATTCTTCGCAATAAGTTTTTCGCAGGTTTTTTAAGATGCTTAATCGCATCATATTGAAGATCGATTTAATTGTGATCTGAAAAAAATCACATCTCTTGTGATATTTCTTGTGAAATTGTGTGAGTCTTTTGAAATGAAACTTGGCACAAAATTTTCTTTTATCTGGGTGGATATTTTGCCCACTATGACGATTGATTACGCGCGGAAATCACCTCGCTTAACCCGCTATAATCTTTATCTATACATTTCATTAATTTGATTATACATTTTTCACCAAAACTGGTTATGCTTTTTTCTTATTTTTTATTTTATTATTTAAATTAAATTTAAATATTGGTTTACAAATTGTAATTTTTTATAAATATTTTTTCCATATTGTTAAAAATTTGTAATTTTTAGAATTTCCGTTATAAAGTCATACAAATTAATTATTTCTACGTACACTTAGCTTGGCTCAACAGCTCCATTATTGATATAATTTGAATATGAGTCTCTTATAATTTGTCTAATTTAAAATTGAATATTATATATATTTTTTCATGTTATTTTTATAGAGAAGTAATTGAGTATGTAGACGATATAGAATCACCACGTATAGGCAATAATTAACAGTACAAAGAATTTAAATTTCATTTAAATAATAGCATTGGAAGAAAAGTACAAGTAGTAGTCTGGAACAATGATATAAGCAAAATTTTAGAATACATATTACCAAATCATGTAAATATTTTTATATTCAAGATAAATTTTTTTAACATTACAAAGAATTATATACTTATTAATAACAATAATAAAATAAGAATCATTTACTTATTAAAATCTTATTAAAATAATTAAATTCAGATTATGCATCTTGATGGAGTACAAGCACGAGTACCCAAAATTGCTTCTTATAACAATGGAAACCTGTTTTATGAATTAATGATACGTAGTAATACTGTAGTACTTGATTTAAGCACATATCAACCTGAAGAACATTATTTAGAAAAACCTACTCCAACAAAATTAAAGAATATATTGAATGTATCTGAACGCATCAGTATGTTTTATTATAACATATAATATATGTATTGTCACGCGCTCGGCGAGGTTCAGGGCGCGAGCGCGGATCAAAAATGGAAAGAGGGAAATCGTGAACGATTTCGGGAGGGAAGATGACAGTCCTCTTATGCAGGTCCCTCCGGCGATTGACACGGGGTAGCGACGCGAGAGTTGGGCGCCAGACATGCTCTACGGCAACGTCGTTCGCGAAACTCGCAGCAGACGCGATAGTACGAACAAGATACTTGTATCCGTCGATATTCAAGTTCCCCAAAACGAATGCTTCTCCCGAGGTCGATCGTGCGAGGGTCGGCCGGCTCTACCTAACGGCAGAGGAACAGGGCGGAAACGGAGGGCGAGTTACTTGATTTTCGACGGGATGGTGGTGAGCGGGCGAAAGAATGCGTACGCCAAAAGTAGAGTAAGAAAGGACACTTTAATAAGCGCTTGGTACGGCGATAATAAAGGCTCCAGTAAAGATAATTAACAAAAAAGAAAGAAAAATAAAGAAGAAAATACTTGGCGATATGCGGCAGAAAATAATCTAGCAACTTGTTTAAAAGGAAAAAGTGCCGGCAACGGAAAACGCAGTAACAATAATACGTTCTGTTGGGCGCGTAAGAAACACTAGCGCCCTCGCGAAACGCTCCGAGATATATATATATACACGGGTTGTCGCTCTGCGAGGGACGACTCTACTTCCGGGGGTCATTCGTGGGGTAATAAACGATTTGTAGACATAACGTTACGAGTTATTCCCTCCACACTCTCCAGTAAGATCCAACACATGGTGACAGCGTAAGAACAAGAAGAAAACCATGCCCAACGACGGTGGTAGCAGCGGCGGCGGAAGCA